CGGGTGTGCTGATGTGCTGAACCTTGCACCACCATAACTAAAATAATATCCCAGATGTTTACCAAGTGTTATTATATATTACACAGCTGTTGAGTCGTTTCACAATGCAACGCAATAAATCTGGAACCTTTCTGAAAGTCGAACGTAGGTGAGACAAATAGATGAAACATAGAAATACCAGAATAATCCAGTGTTCTGAAATAATAGGTACCGGTAATTAAAAAATATGAACGGCAGTAATATGTTTCTGTTTTCAACAAAGTTCAGTCAGGTCATCTGGACGGTTTCTTTTTGTTGTTGTTGTTGTTGAGATGTTTCGTCCTTCATCCAAAGGACTTCATCAGTCCGAGGAGCCACAACAAACTTAATCCCACAAGCAGCACACTCACACAGTGGACCAACTAGTTTGCTGGTGATAAGATGGTTTCTGGGGCCCACACTCTCCCCCATCGACTCATCTGAGGCAGCCATAGCCAGTATAGTGGTTTGTAACATCAAAGTTAATGTTCAATAATCCAGGTAGAAAATCCAACAATGTTCAGTCAGGTCATCTGGATGGTTTCTGTTTTTTGTTGAGATGTTTCATCCTTCATCCAAAGGACTTCAGCTGGTTGGTCCACTATGGGAGTGTGTTGCTTGTGGGACTGAGTTTATTGTGGCTCCTCAGACTGATGAAGTCCTTTGACAAAATATCTCTTAAAAAAAAAAAAAGAAGAAGAAGAAAGAAAGCATCCAGAAGATCTGACTGAAGGATGGTGGATTTTTTTACCTGGATTATTGAGCACGAACGTTGATCTTTCTGTTTTCATTTACAAGTTGTAGAGCACTGAAAAAAATAGATCACATTAAATCATGGGGGCCGATATGGGGTAGAGGCAGGGCAGCCGACTCGGGACCCGAAAGTCCCAGGCTCAATTCCCAGCCATTTCCACATATTTTGGTGCCTCTGAGCAAAACACCCAATCCTCCATTGCTCCCCAGGCACCTACATATCTACCCACTGCTCCACCTGGGTATATTCCAGGTGCAATGTGTGAAATGCGAGAACTAATTTTGCCATTGTATGAAAACATTCAATAATCAACACTTATTTTTATTATAACACTTGTTATTATTAATAATAAACACCATAGTTCCAAAACCTTTTTACCAGTGCCAGTAGGTCTACTCTGGATCCCTTTGGTAGTACTCAAAAAGAAAATTGTGGTATCAACTACTTACAAGTTAAATTACAAGCCAATTAATCATTGCCATGAGCTGAACTGTTAACATGAGCTAAATTATGGCAACAGGCCAAAAGGTGAGCGTTTCAAGCAAATACAATATTTGGTCCAACTTGAAACTTAAAGTATACATTGGAGAACAGTTTTAGAGCCCTGATGGAAACTATAGTGAGCAATGGGTCGCCAATATGACAGTAGCTACATTAGAGTCAGCAGTGGAGTTTGGACTGCAAATAGTGCCAAACAGTGAGAAGATTTAATTCAACTTATCTTTTTTAATTTATCTATTTATTTTTAGTTTTTGTGAACCAAATAAGAGACTGCAGTTTATGTAACGTTGTTTCGTACAACAACTCCAATGAACTTGGTATTTTCCTCAGGTGGTGCTTGTTGTAAAAGGTTTGAGGATCACTGACGTCATGTGAAACTATAGCAGGTGTGGTTGTTTTCAGTTTGAACGTAAAGCTGCTAAAAAAGTTCGAGCTACTGATAAGAAAACTTTGTATTTGACATATGAGGCTTTCATAAAGCTATGAAAGCCTCATATGTCAGGCGTGTACCTTGAACCTTTCAAACGTAAAGATGGAGAGAGGAAAACTATTTCAAAGTTTTGCTCTATAAGCGTAACATGTTTGGCGTTTAGATAAATGGCAATAAAACAGCTAAATTGATTTTTCTGAGCAAATCATTCAAAAGGTAACAGTCTGCATGACCCCAACTCCCCATACGTCCCACATACCTTCTGTCATAATTTGTCATTAACAGAACTTCACCCAGAGAGACAAACAGAACTGGTATCACCTTTTGTAAATTTGTCAAGACGTAACACAAAAGACCCAGACCCAAAGCACCTGCAGATAAGATACAGGCTTCCTGACTCATGTGGAGGGGCTTGACACACAAAGAGCAGCTATATCACAGTGGAAAAAGCAAGACGCTGGTCAGAACACTGAAATAAAATGGAGAAGAAGAAGGGCCGAGCTCTGACTGTTGTGCTTCTGGCGTTTTTGCGAGGTACATCCGGATGATTTTCTGATCACTGGTTAAAAGCAGAAATGTAAATGGGCTTTTTGTACTGTAAATATATATATTTCTTCTGTAGGTTTTTTGGCCTCTAACGCTGTAGAAGTTACGCCTTCCATCAACCCTGCGGTGGCCGGGGGAACAGTGACACTCTCGTTGTCTCCTTCCGTGAATATGAAAAGTGGAAGCTGGGCTTTGGGAGGCACTCTTGTCCTCACCTGGCTTGGGGACCAGCAGGCGGTTTTTCCCAGCCACAGCGGCAGGGCATCAGTAAACAGCACCACCGGAGCTCTCACGCTGAGTCCTCTCAAGCTAAGCGACTCTGGAGTCTACATATTGCAGAGCAGCGACCCGGCTCTGATGGCCAACGCTTCTGTCACTGTAATAGGTGAGACCAGTCTGAAGATATACTTAAATCAGGATTTCAAATGGTTCACTTATTATCAACCTATCTGTGTACCCTATCCAAATGTTAAGCAGCAAAAACAGATGTATAGATGTAAACCGTCTGGAGTTAAGTCGTGCAAAGTGACAGAACAGGAATAAAGGGTGACACTTTACAATAAGGTACACAAAATTTGGTTAACTACTAAGGAACGAATCAGGAACTAATCAGGGGCTAATGGGTAGTTGACCAGTACTTAACTGGGGAACACACAGCCAAGCCTCATTAGGGGACTACTGGTTTGTTACCTGGGAAATGAAGAGTAACTAATCAGGAACTAATGGGTAGTTAACCAGTACTTACTGAGGACCACACAGCCAAGCCTTATTAGTGGACTATTGGTTAGTTACCACAGAAAAAGAGGAGAAATGATCAATTTGGGTTCTGAATAAACCCTGAACCAGCTCGTAATAGTGATAAACCCGTTTCCTAGTGATTACTGATTTTATTGGATTCTTACCACTGATTAGCAATTTCATAATCTTGTACTGGTGTCATCTTAACTATGTCTGGCTATCACTTACTGAGTACCAAATCATTGCCTGGCTATTACTCAGCACCCACATGTAGAATTTCTCCTCTGTGATAACAAACCAGTAGTCCCCTAAAAACACTTGGCTGTGTGTTCCCCAGTAAGTACTGGTTAACTACCCATTAGCACCAGATTTGTTCCTCTTTGGTTTCATTGGTAACTACCCATTAGTTCCTGATTAGTTCATCTTAATTTAGAAAGTAACTAACCACTAGTCCCCTAATAGGTGTGGCTGTGTGTGTTCCAGTAAGTACTGGTTCCTGATTCGTTCCTGAGGTGTACCTTAGTAGTTAATCAAGTTCTGTGTACCTTATTGTAAAGTGTTACCGAATAAATATTTCTTGGGGCTGCAATGAACCACTTCAGGTAAAAGAAGACAGGAACAAACTGATTTGTTGACGCTTTGCTTTTGACCTGAACAACTTTTTGTTGTAATGAAACAAAAACTGAAAAGTTTTCTCATGGGGGGGTGAAGGAACTCATGCCACTGCCTTGTGATATTTAGACTGACATCTCATAAAACATTCTCACCAAGTCAACAAACTGTGTTCAAGCTTTGCTGCTCCTCTGGTAATATCAAGGTGCCCTCTGGCTATTTCTCCATCAACACTCAGCTTTGTGTGACGGTGTTCGCCATCCTTTCCCAGAACCCAGCCCTTCAGCAAGAAATACTGGAAGATCTGTCTGCGTTTCTATTTCTGCATACACAAAGAAACCTTTTAATAAGACACATTCAATATCTTAGAAACTGTAAAAGTATTCCATGAGCTTTGCATTTACACTTACCTAAATCATTTGGAAGTCCTAAGACCTTAAAAAGTAGAGTGTTGTTTTTGAAAGATAATACTTTTTCTCATAAATCCTACTTACTTATAAGGATTTTTATTTTTAATGACTCTAGCAAAAGTTGTATAAAAAAATAATTTGGATAATTAATATTTCTGGTGTCACTAAGTTTTATTTGTTTTAAAAGAAAAGCCAGCAAGTTTAGACCGATATAGATATTTTTCACATCAGACAGTATGTAGTTTTAACTGGAATATTCTATATTATTTTGTTTAGTTAAAGTTTAAATGGTTTATAATGTAGTAGTTTGTTAGAATAAGATAAGAATATCTTCTTTTAATAAAATAATACTGATAAACACTGAATTTACGGACACCACCTTTACAAATGCTCATATATATATATATATATATATATATATATATATATATATATAATTTTTATTTTATTTTATTGTTTGACACATTTATACAAGCAAATTCAGTCCATTGATTACATTGATTAAGATCAAAGTTCATGCTCAATAATCCAGGTAAATATCCAACAAAGTTACTGTAAATCAGGTCATCTGGATGGTTTCTTTTTTTTTTTTTGTGATGAAACGTTTCGTCCTTCATCCAAAGAACTTTGTCAATCCGAGTCAAAAAAAAGAAACCGTCCAGATGAACCTGATTGAACTTTGTTCCATTGATTAAGGTTAACCAGAAAAGTGAATGATGTTTTGTGTTTGTTAGTCACACTCTTTATTTTTTAGACGGTTTTATGTCATGGTTTCTGATGGTGTTGATGAAAAACATGCTTTTGCCTTAAATTGTCACTTTAAACATGAACTCTGGACCAAATATTAACAGCTTTAACAATGAACTTGTAATTGTCGCCAGCTTTTTTTATTTATATATATATATATTTAGTATTTACATACCACAAAACCCATCTGGTGTGCAGTAAGTTGGTAAATAGTTTGTCTCACTTCCACAGAAGCTGTTTCGAATGTGACACTCAACACAAACCAAACGGACCTAATTGAGTTCGGGAGTTCAGCACTCATGCAGTGCTCGGTCTCGTCTGGATCTTCTCTCTCCTTCCTCTGGATGAACGGTAGCTTTCCAGTTACAACCAGCAGCAGAGTTCAGATCACTAATGGAAACTCCACTCTCGCCATCACCAACGTGACCCGCTATGACTCAGGACCATTCAGCTGTTATGCATTTAATCCCGTCAGTAATGGGACCAGTGGTCCAGTAAACTTCACCATCAGCTGTGAGTCAGAGTTTTACCTGCACAGTCACTGGGCTACACCACAAAGCTTTAACGTGCAGTTTATACTCATTTGGCTTGCATCATTTCTGTAATCCTCTCAGATGGTCCAGATAGCATGGCTCTAACAGTGAACGGGTCAAGCGGTACTTCCTTCCCAGTTGGATCCAATCTGACCTTACTGTGTTCAGCAAACTCCAGCCCCCCAGCTCAGCTTCAGTGGGCCTTCAGAGGAAATCTGATGAACTCAACAGGAACCATGTTGGAGTTGTTCCAAGTCACACAGGACCAAAGTGGTCCATACACCTGCCTGGCCTTCAATAACATCACCAACGTGAACAACAGGATAACCAAAGACATTATTATATCAAGTAAGTTTCTGTGTTTTAGTAAATGAAATTAAATTTCATCCGTTTGTCAGAAGCTTCATCCTTTTGTTTGTACAGAGTCCGAACAGCAGGTGATGAATGTGCTGCTCCTTCTTCTGTCAACGACTGGATTCATTTTATCATTACCAGGTAAATTATTAACAAATGAGTTTATTGTTACTTAAAACTTCTCAATAACAGATAAAACTGTTCCCTTAACATTTTTCTACATGGTGATCATAATGTTCACATTTTTGTTAACAAAATAAAATCAAATGTGATTGTTTAAATACACTAAGTTTTGAACTATTATTCAGGTACAATTCCAAATATGATCAATCTTGTTCTTGAAAGTGTCTTTAATGCTTTTTCACCCACAAGTAGATTCTGCCAAAATAAGTTTTGCGAATAGTAACAACTTTTTCTAATTCTTAAAAAAAAAAAAAAAAACACACACACACAATATAAAACAGTCATTCTGGTGAAAAATAAAAATGATTTTTTTCTTTTTCAGATTAATTTGGCTCATTCAGCTCCTGGATGACTTTGCAGCAGTGAAGAAATCCGGATCTCAATATTTAATTTGTTAACAATATCTGAAATCAATGAGATTTTTCATTTGTGGTAAATCTGTACAAATCTGTGATTTTGAAGATTTTACCATTGATGTGGTATAATAAGGAAAAATAAGAATAAAATGTTTGGACAAATTAATAAATCAAGGTGATACAAACCAGCGACCCGTTGGTGCAGTGCTGTTGCCTCACAATGAGAAGGCCACAGGTTTGCCTCACTGCCTTTCTGTGTGGAGTGTGCAAGTTTTCCCTGTGCATTTTATTTTTGTATTGTAACCACAAGAGAGTCCCTCCATTTATGTGGCTTCACCTTCTGCATTCTAGTCTTATGTGTACATATTTGCGTTGTACCTCGGTGCAATTCCAATAAAGTTTATTCTGATTCTGATGTGCACTTATAACAAATGTCAACAATTAAGCAATAATTAATTTGCCTCTTACAATATAAAAAAAAATCACAAGCTCTAAAAGCCTTTTCAAATTTAAGAATTTGTCATGACTTTTCAGAAGCATTTTGTTTACACCCATTTTGTTTACCTCTTCTTCACATTCCTAAAAATTCTGGTGAAAATAGAACATTTAACAAAAACACAAAATGCTTCAACACATCAGATTGAAGGAGTTTCCTGGTTCTCTTTTCTGTACTTGTTTAAAATATGTATGTCTAAAGTTCTATCTAAAACATGATATGCATAACCTACGTGACACTAAGAGTATAATTTGCTTAATACTTTAAAGATTAATATTTCCTAGAGCCCTGGGCAATTTATTTTTATTTATTAATTTCTTTATTGGAATAAGCAAGGGACAAAAGAAAAAGAAAAGAAAAAGTCAAATGCCAACAAGTATTGTGACGCATATGACAAAACTCTTTTTCCAAACATCGGTGATAACAGCTGCGCATGTCATTCATGGCAGCAACATACTCTTGTACATACCCTTGTAATGAAGATAAACTATTCTCAATAAAGTCATCTGTTTGGATGCTAGTCAAATGGAAACAATTGTCTGCGATTTTCTTAGAAAATATGACATCACCCTGTTGGTTTGTGATTACAGTAAACAGTTTAGGAGAAAGAACGTGTCCATTACGGTACAGAGAGAAACTATTGATAAATCCGGTTTGACCATTTTTTATTTGTTGAGTTCACTTTCAAATAACCCAAACTGTACAAAGTATACAAAGTATTTAGTTAATTTCTTAAACAGTTTAGTTTCTTTTACATAAATGTGTATTTGTTATCACACAGTTTAATTTGACCACTTTATTCCACTATTTTTATTATCTATTTGAGATTAACAAGTTTCGTGAAGAGTTTGATGTACAGTAATAGCATTCTTTTCCTTTGTGGTACATTAAGCTCCAAATGATGTCCAAAAATCAAGTGGTGCAGTGTTCTGGTCAGCTAACAGTTGAAGAATGATGGACTAAAGTTTACAGTAAATGGCCACTCCTGGTAGTTCCATTAAGACCTGGGTACATCAGGGCAAAACAAGGTGTGGCAGCATGTGATGGTGATGGAAGACGGAACGACTATTGCATCAAAAGAACTGAGAGCTGCAGAGCCAACATTTGCTGATTAGAAAGAAGGATCAGACAACATCTCCAGGATTGAGTTTTAAAGCAATAGCCTGGTCCATTTGGTTGCTGAAGTTCTCAGATGAAACGAGAGTGGGGCAGAATGACGTCTTCAACAGCCTTTCTCCTAATTCTGACCACAATAATATCTGCAGGTAAAGCTGGACGATCTTTTAATTTGGATTTGTTTGCAAAGATTACACTCAACTCTACGTTGGTTTACATATTTTGCTGATTTAAAAATCAAACGTTAAAGAATTTAGTGGTTTAAAAATGCTTTTGTAGAAAACGGCTTATTTTTTATTCAATTGTTAAATGTTTAACACAACAAATATGCATGTCCATTACAGTAATTTAATGAATACTTTGCTAATCCTGCTAACACCTCAAAGTTATGTGTGTATGATTCATCAACTGTGTTTCTTATATTTCACTTCCTGTCTGTTTTCAGGTCTTGTTCACAGCCAAAGAATATATACCCCAACAAACCCTGTACCAGTGGGCAGCAACTTGACCATTTTCACTGATGTTAGTGTCACAGTGGGGGCCTGGTTATTCAACAACGATATCCTTGTGTTCATTTTCCCGGGAGGGCAAATCATAAATGATGCACATAAGGACAGAGTTTTATATGATTCATCTACATCATCTCTGACTATAATTTCAGCCACACTGGAAAACTCTGGAAAGTACAAATTACAACAAATAAATGTTTTTATTGCAAATTTAGACATCTCAATCCAAGGTAAGAGCTCTCACACACGTCTTGTTTGTTCACAAACATATTACAGGATACAAATAAAATAATGTTTAGTGTTTTTTCTTACAATTAGATGAACACTTGATTTTGATAGTGTTGCAGAAAAATATATTAAAGCTATGAACAAATGGCGTTTCTGTTTTGGGTCGCTGCAAAGAAGTGATCTGCAAGGCAATGCTATTAATCGCTTAGTCCTAATAATAGCTACAATGTATGTTTAGTATTTTGTATTTGACAGCTAGAAAATCAAATCAGCTTTAATTCAAGCCCTAATTGGTTTGAACTCAAGTTCATGTCGACTATGAACAGTTATTTCTTTAAAAAAAAAAAGATTTCTTCCTTGCGTTTCTCACTTGTCATACTCGTTAGTTTTTTTTTTTTTATATAAAAAACGCTTGACCCATAAGAATTTCTGCAATGACTCAGACGTCAATCAAATACTTTTAAAAAACAGCCCTGTTTCAAAGTTCAACGTTCAAAGTTCAAAGTTCAAGGTTCAAGGTTCTTTATTGTCATTCACATCACATGTGGTACATGAGGTGGAACGAAACTGTGTACTCAAGGTCCCAGTTACACCGAAAAATAGCTAAAATACAACGTATAAAAAGAAACAGTTTATAAGTATCTAAGATATACACTAAACACTGATAATGTAAAATAATACAGTATATTAAACAGCAGCCCCAACATGAGTCTGCAGTCGTCTGTAGTTTGAGGTACAGTCCTGAAAAAAAGATTACAACAATGAAATTTACATGTTAAGTTTCCGTTGAAATCCACAATACCTAACCATTTGCTTGTGATATGTTCTCTTTGCAGTGCCTGTTACAAATGTAACTCTGTCGGCAAGGAAAATAAATCTGATCGAATATAATGACACGGCAGTCCTCGTGTGCTCTGTGTCCAACGGCTCATCTTTGTCCTATACTTGGTTGGATGGGAACTCAGTAATCGTTGATGGTGGAAATGTACAGTTCAGCAATCAAAATACGACTCTTACCATATCCATGGTGGCCAGCTATAATCAGGGTCCATACAGGTGCAATGTGTCCAATGGAATTGGATATGAAGTTAGTGCTCCTCTACTGTTGAACATCAGTTGTAAGTTTGAATCAAAATTGAATGTACGTACGGGTATTTGTTTTAAAAAAAGTGCAACAATAACACCAAATCTTCCTCTTCTTTTATCAGATGGTCCAAAAAATACCACAATAACAGTCAATCCTGTGAAGACTATCTACAAAACAGGATCAAACGTCTCGCTGTTGTGCTCAACCGAGTCCAGCCCTTCAGCGATAATCCACTGGATGTTTAATGACACGTATCTGAACCAGTTTGGTCCACAGCTTACCTTAGAGAGCATCAGTGCAAGCAACTCGGGAAATTACAAATGTGTGGTTTACAACGCTGTCACACTGAGGTCCAGCAGTGCAAGTAGAGTGATTCAAACTATGGGTAAGAGGCATTTGTTAATTTGTTTAGCCACATTTGTTTGTTTGTTTAGCCACATTTGTTTGTTTGTTTAGTCACATTTGTTTGTTTGTTTAGTTAAATTTGTTACACTGAGAACTTGAAGTCTTACTTTATGAAATTGTGCAATCCAGATGAATATAAGAGAAAGTGAATTCAGTATTAAGTTTGGTTAAAATAACAATTACGATATTTATTCTTGCAAAGCTAAAGTAACTTTAGTGAAGCAGTCAGTATGTTTTGCATTTTTTATGCATTAAACAAACAACACATACAATAGTTGTAAGTTTTAGAGTTACAGCTATTTGAAACTTACCATCTTGTGTGTAAGAGACCACAGGATGTTTTTATCCTGATGCATGCTCAATAATCCAGGTAGAAAAAGGATGTTTTTAGACTTTATGTTGAGATCATTTAGCAAAAAGTTGCACCTAAATCTATATTTATTGAACAAATCATTACTTGCATTAATTATAAGAGTAAACAGGGATATTGGTCAGTTTATTGTTGAAAGGACCTAAATGCATGCCTGGAGACAGTTTCAGGCTATCAGAAAGAACAAAACAGAACAATAAAAAAAAAAACATAGGTCATTGTTATAAAATGGTCAAATATTATTAAATAAGCAAAAATATCAAAACGCTGAAAAACTAAAAACATAACAAATCAAGTATTTCCAAAAATAACAAAAAAAAATTACGCTATAATTTTAATTTTTTTTTTTCAAAATGTGCCATATTATTTAAACCTTTCCTATTCATTTTTGTCCCCCACACTAGATCCTCTCACAACAGTTGCTGTGATTCAAACTGGTGGCCCAGCAGCTCTTCATGAACCATTCACTCTGATTTGTGACGTGCCTGAACCTGCTGACACTGTTTTGTGGTGGAAGGATGATCAACTCATTTCTGCTGATAACACAACAGTCTTTGACGTGACCAACAAAACACTCACTATAAGTTCAGCCCAACTTTCTGACAACGGAAACTATCAGTGCCAAGCTTTTAATGCTGTTAGCAACATGACCAGCAGCCCCTACGAGCTTCAAGTTCATTGTAAGAGCTTGATATCTTCTCAGTTTCATTCACAAAAGCAGGCTCAAATGAGGCATTTCCAAATGTGGCTCTATCTTGCTGTTAAATCACAAAATATTTAGAACTTAATTAATATCTGAGACAGGTTGATCAGAGAATTCTTGATTAGTAAATTGGCTAAATGTTTGGAAAGGTATGCAGCCATGTTTTGTGTGACGGTATTCAAAAGTTGTATTCATGCTTTCAGATGGACCAGACATGCTCACCATCGTGGGACCAAATGTGGTGAAAACAGGAGACAATGTTACACTCAGCTGTCATGCAGAATCGGTACCACCAAGCCTCTATAGATGGTACTTCAAGGGGTCTATAGTCTCCAACATGTCTGACTACATCACACCTCCTCTATCTAAAGACATGAGTGGGAAATACATCTGCATGGCATTCAATAACATCATCAACAAAAACAGCACTGACTTCATAATGCTTACTGTTGTTGGTAAGAATTAAATAGATATAGTATTCTTATCCCCAACATTATAGTTTGTTGTACAACAATGTAAGGCGTTTCATACAAGACCATTTTAACTGTTGTGGGTTTTGCTTTGTTTTCAGACCCAATTGAAAAGGTTCAAATTGAGGCTCAGGCACATGATGCTATAGAAGGAGATTCGTATGTGTTAACGTGCATTGTAACGGGAACTGTTGACCGTATTTATTGGATGAAAAATGGTGAACCACTTCAGGCAGACAACAGAACTGTTTTCGAGATGGATAACCAAACAGTCATGTTCATGACTGTGGAACGTTCTGATGCCCAACACTACCAGTGCATGGCTATTAATGCTTTTGGAAACATGACCAGTGATTCTTACTGGCTCCTGGTCATCTGTAAGTAAAATTGGTTCTGTGCTATCAAGTACTGAAAGTTTGTGAACTATTGTGTAGATAAAATAGATTATTTAAATTTATGTCCATGTTTTTAGACGGACCAGAGACACCAACCATTTGGGGACCAAATGCGGTCAGGAGAGGAAACAATGCCACACTCAGCTGTCAGGCAGCCTCGGTCCCTCCAAGCATCTTCAAGTGGTATTTCAATGGATCTATGGTCTCCAATATGTCTGAGTATGTCACACCTCCTTTAACCAATGAAATGAGCTGGGAGTACATCTGCACGGCCTTCAACTACATCACCGGCCAAAATAGCACTGCCTCTGTAATGCTTACAGTTATTGGTGAGATTTAAATTAATATATTTAAACTGATGCCATTTTTCCCCTTTACAAAGATGAAATAAGACCAGTTAGAGATTTAACTAATAACTGTGAATTTTTGCTGTGGTTTCAGATCCAATTGAATATATCCAAATAGAAGCTGCTATGGACTCTTCCATTGAAGGTGGTGCACATGAATTAACATGCAACGTAATAGGAACTGTTGAATATATTAATTGGATGATCAATGGTGAACCACTTTATGCCGACAACAGCACTGATTTCTCCATGGATAATAAGACTGTCATGTTCAACCCTCTGGCCCAGTCTCATACTGGGGACTATCACTGCATGGCAACGAATGCTTTAGAGCGCATGGTCAGCTCTGCTTACAGTCTCCTTGTCTATTGTAAGTATAATATACAAAGTCTTTATGCTGCAAAAAACAAACTTTTTTTATATACATTATTATAAACATGTTAAAAGATTTAACATCTACATGCAGTAAATAAAAATAGTGTTTACAGATATTCTAATAAAGTTAAGTCAGGTCCTCTAGATGATTCTTCTCTGCTGAGAAGAGTCAACAAAGAAGAATCTGTCCAGATGACCTGATTTAACCTTGTTAGATTTTTCTACCTGGATTATTGAGCATGCATCAGGACATTTAGTTATTCTTAATGTGCAATTGAAAATAGTTTAATAAAAAGAACACATAGCAGATTGTAGTTTTAAACAAATGTCAATATTGTCTTTATATAGTCAGATATATAAAACTAATTTTAAGTGTTATTTGTGATGCTATTTTTCCAAAGCAGAAAAAAATATGTGCTTCCCCTTCACATATATTTTAAAAATCTAAATATAATATTATATAATCAATGTATATGTGTAGTAAATAAAAACAACAAAGACTAAAATAGATTATAGTTTATTGGTGTTGACTATTCAGAAATGTTTAAACTAGACAGTTATTTCCAACTTTCCATTAGTCATCACCATTGACGAATTACTACTTTGTCCCAATACAAATACAAATAATACTAATTGTCTAACAGCAGCAACATGTGAGCAACACACGTAACAACGAAAAATTCAAAGAAGCGCAGTTTAATTCCAAGAGATAGGTTTATGCTTTATGCTTTCATAAGCCATTTCTAAAAGGCTTCCTATTTCAAGGTCAAGAGTAGAGCAAACAACTGTAAGAAATTCATGATGTAATGTTTTGGAATCTTTATTTGTTTATCCAGAAAGAACCATCCTCAGCTTAAAATAAATTCATATTTGAATGATCAAAATGTTAACTTTTTTTAATTTAGTACATCATTATTAGATAGAGAACTTTACTAATTGGCTTTTTTAATGTATGTGCATGTTCCTGTAAAGTGCCCTGAGACAACGTTGTTGTGATATGGCGTTATATAAATCAACTGAATTGAATTTTTAGTTGGATGATTGTTTAATATTAAAAATGATAAAACAGGGGTATATTTAATTTAATCCATTCTCGTCTTTTAACCGCACAAATTGTGGAATTTAGAGGCATCTAACCATGTAGATAAAGCTAATGTATGCACTAAAACGTGATTGTTATGACAGCTGTGATGAAAATAGGAGATGATTAAACTTACAAACTTTATTATAGAACTGCTCCTTAATGTCAGATGTCGTTACAGAATACCGCGTTGCCTGAAATCTTCATTATCTTACTGTTGTTCTCTTCAACAGTCTGTCCTATACTGTCACAGTAGCGCTCTCTAGTGACAAGAAGTAATAACAGCAACAGAAATGAACGTAAATGCATTCGATGTGTACCTGTAAGAACGCAACAATGATCATCCACTAAAAATGACTGAAAATGTTTTTGTTCAGATGGACCAGAGATGCCAACTATCATGGGACCCAATGAGGTGATGATGGGAGGCAGTGTCACACTGAGCTGCCAAGCAGCATCAAGCCCCCCAAGCCAATACACATGGTATTTCAATGGTTCTCTGGTTTCCAATATGTCCACATTAGTCACTCCTCCTTTGACCAAAGGCATCACCTGGAAATACATTTGCATGGCCTCCAACTACATAACCGGCAAAAACAGCAATGCCTCCATAATTATTACAGTTAATGGTGAGGTGGTTTTCAATTTACGTGAAACTTTTTTTTTTCTCTACAAAGATTAAATACGACCAGTCAAAAGACTAAACTGTGAATTTTGCTTTGTTTTCAGATCCAATTGAAACTGTACAGATTGCGGCTCAAATGAAACCTGCCATTGAAGGTGATTCGTATGAGCTAGCATGCAATGTGACAGGAACTGTTGATTATATTTATTGGATGAAAACTGGTGAACTACTTCAGGCTGACAACAGAATTATTTTCAACATGGGTAATAAGACAGTCAGGTTCATGTATGTGGATCGCTCTGATACTGGAGACTACAAATGCATGGCTATGAATGCAATTGAAAACATGACCAGCGCTTCTTACAGTCTGCTTGTTAACTGTAAGTATGTTTAAAACTTTTACTGTGTTGTCATGTATATGTATATTTTTATAAATTATACGTGAACAAGGATAGGAAGAACTCTCATCACAGATTACGACTTCATTTTACAGTTGGACCAGAGACACCCATCCTTTGGGGACCAGCGTATGGTGAAACAGGAAGTCAAGTTGTATTCAACTGCGATGCCATGTCGGTGCCTCTCAGTTCTCTCAGTTGGTGGTTCAATGAATCCATGAGGACCAATTCGTCAGTGTTTAACACTGGCCCTTTGACTTTAAACATGAGCGGGACATACACTTGCATGGCCTACAATCACGTGACGGGAAAGAACAGCACAAACTCCACGATGCTCACAGTCATAGGTATCAAAGTTTGGATGTTAAAGGCACAGAACAAAACACTTTGCATGAGTCATGGAAATACAGAATGGATCAATTAACTAGTTATTGTGCTGTAAATATTCTGAGATCAAAATACTTTACACATTACCTTTTGTTCACTTGTTTTATTTCCTGTGTTTACAGAGGCAATACAGTCAGTGACGATCCTCAACAGCACGATGCCAGTAAACCGTGAAAACTTCACGCTCACATGTCACATTGTTGGGCCCTATGACACAATCCACTGGAAGAAAGATGGCATGTATCTCAACATGAACGCTTCCAGCACCAACTCTTCCATGTACCACATTGAAAAGAACAGTCTTCACTTCACCTCTTTGACTGTGGAAAATAATGGGAACTACCAGTGCATTGCTATCAATAAGGCTGCGCTCCATAAAAGCCCCACGTACATCCTCAGCGTGAACTGTAAGAACCACTGGCACCAGTGCTTTTTAATAGTTTTTAGAAAATAAATGTTGCATTAAAGGCATTATTATTATGGCATGGATTGTAAACATCTATCATTTTAACTTGTACTTGCAAATAAGCACTTTGTGTTTGAATACATTTTGCAGAACAGCTTTTTTTTTTTTTTAACATTATAGTCACTTTCATGTTAATGTTGAAAGAAAAGTGAATTTAGACATACTGTATAATAGTAAAAAAAAATATATATATACATATATATAAAACAGCAAAATAAGCATTGCTAAGTTTTTATGTCTGTTTGCAGATGGTCCTCTGAACGTGCTCATCTCTGGCCCAGCTTCAGAAAAACCAAATGTCCCTGTGACTCTGACATGCTCTGCTGACTCGCAGCCAAAGTGTGACTTCCAATGGTTCCTGAACAATAAGTCAATGCCTGTAGGGAATGGATCCATTTTCACTTTCAACTCACAAAAAAGTAATGAGGGGAACTACATATGTGAGGCCACAAATCAAGTGACAACGCTCAAACTGATGCAGACTAAAACGTTTATTGTTGGTGAGTAAAAGTTACAACTTTTATTTCTTTGTTGCTGTTTTTGATGTAGTAATAGCATCTCCATCATGTTTTATAGTATTTTGTTAAAAAATACTTTTGTAATATCTTATAACATTGTAAAACAATCATCATGTTTAGTTCATTCCATAGTCTATTTAGTTCTAAATGTTTCAAAAGTAAAAATAATTACATCTGTTTAAACTTTAGTTTTAAATAATGCATCTTGTATTGTAAATATAAATTGTATTCACTCAGACCTTTAACCATTTTTTCTTTATTTGTCTTTTTCTTTAGCAGCCCAGGCCTCTGCGACTCATTTCATCACCAAAGGAAGTCTGATGTTCATGAGTCTCTACGCTCTTTCGGCCCACTTGCTTTTTCTTTGAGTCGTTGTGAAATCCAGCCAGAAGGCTTTTTGCTTTCTCTAAAACCTTCAAAATCAATCTTATATTGAAACATATACCCATATATAATGTGTGCATATGCACATTATATGCATATATATATTATACAGTAATACTGTAACTGTCTTAATTATTAGCAAATTATGCTACTTCTGAGTTTTATCACTGTTGTCACTTTTATGAGAGGTTTACCCTATGCACATAAATGAACACATTATTTTACAATGACAATCATAAGTATCTCTTCAAATGGCTCTAAACCTCTTTAAAATTATTTGCCACTGTCCCACTGAATCGCTGCTCTTTTTCTTGGTTGAACATTATTTAAGTTAGATCAAAATGTGGACATTTATTTGAACATGTATTTACTACATTTAATTGCTAATCAAATAAACAAATGCAACTGATTTTGTAGACATTTTTATTAGGAAAGTTTATTTAAAAAAAAGTGCAACCAGCAGGAATATAGTCAGTAAAACTCTGTGCAAGCTTTTTATTTAAAATGTAAATTCTGTATATAGCAAAGAACAAAAAATCATATATATATATATATATATATATATATATGATTTTTT